GTGTGTGTGTGTGTGTGTGTGTGTGTGTGTGTGTGTGTGTCAGCGTGCGAGCTTGGCACTCGCCCGCTCGCCAATGTCGAGTGAAAATAATATCGGGCGAGTCAAAGCTAAAACTGACTCGCCCGTGTTGGCGAGTAAAAATAATTGCCTAAAGCTTTAATCAAATATTGGTTCCTTACTTTTTTTTTTATCCAAACATTGGTGAAAAACAGTTATACATATATAGTAACACATAGTAACAAATAGTATAATAACAACTAGCGATGTCATCACGCCACATTCATTGTGTATACATGCCGTGGTGTAACCACACACTAACGAATGCCATGCTCTGATTGAGCAGTCGCGATTCAGCTTAGCCAATCACGTACGGTATTATCAGGAGCGTATAATGACAAATAAGGATCATGACAAATACGTCGAATGACAATATAATGCGTATAATGACAAATACAGGAGCGTATAATGACAAATCCTATCATGAGCTGTCTGAGGCACATGCATGTGCTTCTGATCATGTCAAGGCTGTACAGAATCCGAAAAAAGCCTTGCTAACGTCGCGGTCGGTCTTCTTCACACGCAGCATTCTGAGAAGCTCAGAATTTTATTCCGGAATGCCCATGCATTGGTCAAGAACGGAGACTATTTAGGCACTTTCAGTGGTTGTGCGACTTGGATGAAAAAAGGGGCCTCTCGATTGGACCTTTTGTATTTTTGCAAATTTGTAACTTTGCTGTGACGGGTACCGAGGTGCCCTACTTATAATGTGATCAATGAATTAAATGTGTAGTTTAAATCAATTTTTTGTTTTAAACTTTGGGCGCGTACAGATTCCATTCGGGCGAGTTAACTTATTGACTCACTCGCCCAGTTTGGTGAGTGTTTTTTTTTTAAGCTCTAACCCATCACGGCTTCGGGCACACGGGAGTCGGACAGTTGACGCTACATGCTGCCGCGCACGTGATGTGCCTGAATATGTGCCGCTTGCGTCGCCTCCCAAAACAACATCCTGGGCACACGCAGTTATGACTACATATGAAGTTATTCACGTATTGGCAAACCAGGTCGTGGACGCCGGTAGTGAACCATCGCTTCACTCTCACACTGTGGATCCTGGCGTCATCTGTCGGTATGGCAGCGGTCACTGCGAGCAGTACTAGTGTCGCCACCTGTGAATCAGAGAGGAGGATGTCTTAACGTAAACTCTGTATTCGGGCGCACGCACGAGTTTCGCGGGGTGTTAGATTCGGTTATTTTCAAATCGCAGAACATCTCCCCTCTGCGTTCACCGATCTCTCCTTTCTACTGTCGCTATAGATGTGTCATTATATTGGTTTACTGAGGTCACACTGTTGGCATGGCAACAAGAATCTATCGCTCTGTTTGTAGGGAATGCATGACTCCCTCTGGATGTTTTAAAGTTTGAACTAAGACTAGAGCCACTAAAGTTATTTTTAGCATCCAATGAAAAACTATAGCCACTGTTAACTTTATCCTATGTGCCAAGCAAGGCATAAGCAGGTGATGGGTATGGGAAAATAGGTGTACGAAAACGTTTTTAATAATGTATTCAAGTAAAAATGAAAATGATATTGTTTAGTCTATACAAAACCAGGTTGTTGCACCGTTGCACGGTAGTTGCACCAAATCGCTAGGTTACGGAATTTGTTAGTACTCACACGACACTGCAATTTGACGATTTCATTATTCAATCGTAATTTTGTGAGCGGTTAAATCATTCGCCAATTGTATTCGCCACTTAGTGTAGTAAAATTGCAATTGTTATTTATTCATCGCATTTTGCTAAGGTGGCGAACGCCAGCAGTAACCTTGGAATTAATTCCTACCAGTAGCACTTTGCCAAGCGCACTCCATTTTAATCCTGAAGAATGCATTTTTGTCTATCGTTGTCTATAGCTGAGTTCTCTACTCGGCTGCACTCGGCTGCACCGGTGGTTGAAGTTTGCCTGTAACTGAATACACACCACATAATACATCGTGTGTCGTCATACTCTAATAGTAGCATCTCTACTACTGTTGTGCATGTTTGTCTGTAACACCACCATGTGTTACTTAGAGCATGCCTAGTGTTACGTGTATTCTTGCCAACAAAAAAATTGACAAGATTTTTGACAGAAATTGCTTAGCGTGGCACGTAGCTCGCGCGCTTTAGATGCGAATTCAACGAATCTGCGTATACACTTGCTATAAATAATTTCTCAGTTTCAAACGGGGAAATATCATATTTGTGCATGCCCGTTCGCGCCGAAAATATAGAGCATGCGGCGAAATTAGTTTTGATTAGATTGCGATATTAATTAATATAATTGTCAGTTTTAAGGATTATTAAGCTGACCAAAAAGCACTGTCTGGATAAGGAGGAAGAGGGTTGAACATACGCTGTCTCATGTTTTCATATATATGTTCGCGTCATTTTGGCAGATTTTCGACTAATCTTAGTAGCACTAGGTGGTCTAGTAGGTCCTTTCCCGTGCCTCACTTGTCCCTCGCACAGCCTCCTTTGTCTTCTACCGCACCCAGCTATCTTCCCTGCTGTCTTTCCTCAGTCTACCATCCCCGCTCCCTCGCAGCAAGCTATATTATGAAGTTTGCCTCAGACAGCACTGCACGCCAAACACGGTGCGCGCGCATGCGCAATATCTCTTGAGAAATATTGTATTTTGCAAAGATTATGCATTTAAAATGAAGAGGAGTTATCCTAGCATAGATTTATATAATTACATTCCATCAGTAGACATCATTTAAAAAATAAGGGGAAGACCTTGCATGTAAGGTTCCGGCTGTGTATACCAGCCATTACACAATCTGGCTAGGTTAGTGTGTTAGCGCATGCGCAATATCTACCAAAGAAGTTATATTTTGT